GGAATTTTTTGCAAAATTCCGATTCCCTTTCTCGCTCTCTCACTTGTTCTCTCTCTCTCTTTCTCTCTCTCTCTCTCTCTCTCTCTCTCTCTCTCTCGGCTTTTTCTTTACCTCATTTTCACCGAAACCCCCCTTCTCCGACCTATTGACCCAAGCCTGCCCCCGCCAAAACAAGCACTCTTAATCTTGTTGAGCCGCAAAACAAGCCGACGTCTAGGGTAACTGCCAATTATTCTCGAGGCAGCTTTTAATTTGAAGGTTGTTCCTACTTTTTACGTAGTCAATTTTAACCTGCGAAGTTCATAGTTCTTTGAGTTGTTGACCTCATCGAAACGGCAAACCTTAATTTGTTCGTGAATTGCGCATTTTCAGATTTTACAGTTTTTCGGCATGCCAATTTTTGCTGCTTGAACTTAAAAATACACTTTCATGCTGACACTATCCAATTGGAAAAATCATATTCCTCTGTTTTTGAAAACCGGGGTTCTTGATGTCACCATCCCTTAAAAAGTCTTACGATTTCCGTTTCACAGCCCTCTAAAATCGATGAAGCCATTGATGCCCTTTAGCATCATCATTTTATGGCGCTATCAGCTCCCTAAAATTGACTTTCATCTCGAAATTCTAGTTTTTAGTTTTTTTGGCCCTGGTACGGCTCCTTTAAAGCCTTTTTTCTCTCCCTAATCGGCTATTAATGGTAAATCGAGCTCTTGATGTCATTTTCCCTTTGAAACAAGACTTTTGTTTCCAAGCTTCATTTTATTCTTTCAAAAACTTCTTGTCACAATCCCTTTAAACCACTCCCTTTTTCCATACCTTCCCTAGTCCGCCCCCCTCCCCAGGCCATTAACAAAATCGGCTAATCGAACGGCCACCTCTTCCTCTCGCAGCTTGTTTGCCGATTTCGGGGTTGCTTGAAAAGAACCGGGAAAACGGCCGGCCGATGCGTGTTTGCCCATTTTTATAGTGTGCGCGTCGTCGGGCCGTTCAGCCCCGTTCAGGGGTGTCTAACGGAGCTCTAGGGGGAAAGCACCCCAGGCCATTTCTGGGCCCCATGCGCTGGTGGTTCCCATGCCTTTTTACGGGTCGAATTCAAGCCCTTCTTCCTGGCTCTTTAGGGACTCCGGAACACTCCGGAACTTCTGAGCGGCTAGAGAGCGAGAGAGAGAGAACGAGGGAGAGAGAGTGGGGAGAGAGAGAGAGAGAGGGAGGGAGAGAGAGAGAGAGAGCGCGCGCGCGCGAGGCAGTGAGCGAAAGTTCATTGGGCTTTTTGGTCTCTTTTGGTGTCGAATTTCGATGTGTGGGTGGAGAAAATCGAGAATCTAATGAAATTTTTGGACAATAAAAATGTCATTTTCTAGTGTTATTTTCTTTATCGTTTTTTGGGATTTTATAAAAGTAAAGCCATATAGAGACGATTTTCACGAATTCGCCGGAAAACTAATAGTTTTGAGCCTTTATTCTTGCGTAAAAGCACATTTTGTCGATTTTCGATGTGTTTTTTACTGAATCGCAAATTACTGTATATCCTTATTTATTTATAAATAGTTTTTATTTATTTATTTTCTTCAATTTGTCGGATTGTGCACAATGCGAATTCGCGATGTAGCTAATGTAGACGATCCAATACGGACTTTCTTTTATTCTAGCGACAATTTTTGAAATTTAATAAAATCCTAAGTTTTCTCGATTGTTGAATTTCTTTGAAAAATTCGATTCCAAATTTTTCAAATCTTCTAAGTTTTTGATTTTTTTTGAAGCAGTCTGACGGTTTCCCCCGAGGTTTCCATTAATTCCTCTGAGACCATACCTTTCAGAGTACTACTTTTTTCTCCTCTTGCCGCGCAGAACTTCAGGCTCCTATTTCCCCTCCTCCCGACACAAAGGCCGCGCTGCTCATTCTCATGCCCAGAAATTCAAAGTGACGGGCGTCCCACGTCGCCTCGCTTTTTGCCCGGGCAACTGGTCTCACATCAAGGTTTCAAAGCAGTTTTTTCGGGGCTTCGCGAATCGCTAGAATATGGCCGGGGAAGAATCGGAAATGGGCCGGAGAGCCTCGTGGGGTAGAGAAGTCAGCGATCTTTGGGTGGCACTGGTTTTGGGGTCTTGGCGCGATTTTTGGGAGTTTAACGTTTTTTTTTTAGTTTGTTAAGCTTCAAAATTAACTTTGATACTCTGGCACAATAATCTGATTTTTTCAAATAATTTTTGCATATATTTACGCTCCAATTCCGAGTTTTTGAGTTTTGCAGCAATTTTGAGGGATGTTTTCGATGTATTTTTGTGTACGTTTTAACGATAAGCGATCGTTTGGTGGCCTCGATTCGATTGATTGGCTTTTTACATTTTTTAATTGATTTAATTTGTCTTTTTTAGCTGATTTTAAGGCTTTTTGAGTTTTAGGCTCTAGAAACATTCAAAAACTGTTTTCAAGATATTTTCTTGTTTTTCTGATGTTTTTCGAAGGCTTCCTCCCCCGCCTCCTCTAAAAACCCTCACTAGCCGGCATGCTAATCCCATTTAAAGAGCACAACAAAGCCTCGGGACGGCTCGGGCTGGGGCTTCGGAATTTAATTTAGTGCGCTTTTCGTGGAATACAAATATCTTGGAACAGATGCCGAATCGGGGCTTATTAATATTTTTTACGATCTTTTCCAGCTCAAATTTTTCAAAAAATGGTGGCTTTTTCAATTTTAAGATTTTACTATGTTTTAGATCTCGAATTATAACCTTTATAGCGTTTGACTGCAAATAAAAGTTATAGCTGAGGCTATTTTTCCTCGTTTTTCAATGACATGGGTTTATATATTGGACTTCTAAATGCCTTTAAAGAAAGACTTGGATGCAAAAGCGAAAATTCGGCTCTTTACTTCGACTACGTGTACCGAAATACACTTCATTTTAAGGCGGTTTCACGAATTTTTACCGACCCTCGCAACTCCTGCAAGATGGTTACGAATTTCCAATCGCTACCAAGGCGTTTTTTCGCAGGTCATGGAGCTGTCTAGACCCAGCAGTCAGAAGGGTTGATTCCGGCACTTTCTTAACCCTTTAACTCGCTTTTACCCGTTTTTCCACAATTCTTTCTTTTTTTGGGCTGTTCCGGTTCCTTATTCATCCCCCACCTCCCCTTTCACGTCCTTCCCCCCCGCAAATTCGCATGTTTTGTTGGTGGCGCGGAGGTCCCAGGGCCATGGCCGTGTCCCTGGGTCTCAACGAAACTGGCGCCAACGCAATTTGGGCATCCCTGGCCTCTTCGCCTTGGCCAAGACAGGGCCCTATTTTGGGTCTCTTTTGGGGCCTTTTTGGCCGGCAACCCGTCAAAAAGGCCGGGAGGATTCCTTTGTTTTGCCGGACACCCGGGGGCTTGTCTCGTCTCGGCATCATGGTTTTTGGCCCCCTTTGGCATTGATATTCTTGTTCTAGAATGTGCGGATTTTGGCTTGGGCTTGGGCTTAGGCATAGGCTTAGGCTTAGGTTTAGGCTTAGGCTTAGGCTTAGGCTTAGGCTTAAGCATAGAATTGGCTTTCGCATGGCTTTTCGAGCCCAAAAACGCTAGGTCCAAAACTCTCAGGGCATACATAGCGCAAAAATGCGCAATTTTCAGATTTGAAATTTCTTAGAAGTATCGATAGATTTTTTGGATAGTTTTTGAATGCCCCGAACTACGAAACTTTTCAAAATACGCCCTCAGCGTCGCCCAGTACTAAAAATAATCTCTTCTAGGCCTTCTAGTCCACTAAACTGCACCCCCAAAAAGGAAGCGTCGTCCCAATGACCCATTAAAATGCAAAGGATTTTTTGTTCTGCTGCTTCTTCCGGCCATCCATTCGTGACTTTACTTTTGTTTTCTCTCTCTCTCTCACTCTCTCTCTATCTCTCTCTATATCCTCTTTTTCTCTCTCCTCAGTTCTTGTTTTTCCGGAGGATGAGAAGCGTCTGGCCTCCAGAATGGCTTCTTGCGAAACTGCACCCTGACCCCAAGAAGGCCATTAATATACCCCAGGGATGGGGTGTAGTCCGCGGTTTTGGGTTCAAGGAGACAAAAAAGGCAAACGTTCCGGTTCAGTTACTAGTTTCTAAAAAATCTCTGCTAGCTGACTCGCCGCTCAAAGAGTTTTGAAGTACCTAAATTTCTCCTGCTACCTGCCAGCTTCCATGAGATGCTGAATTCCTAAATTTTCTCTGCTAATTAGCCTCGGATCTTCGGCAGAAACAGTCAGCGGCAATTTTGAGCTAGCGGCAGTCGTCTAAGTTCCTCAATAATCCCTGCTAGTTGACCATATAATTTCCCAAAAAGCCTGTGCTAGTTATTTTACTTTGCTAATCCGAAATGGTCTCTGTTAGCCTGCCTTTTTCCGCACTCGTCTCTGCTAACATATCTCTCTCTCTCTCGCTCTTTCTGTCTCTATATCTCCATCTCTATAGCTCGATCTCTCTCTTTCTCTCGTCCATTCTCTCACTCTCTCCCTCTCTGTTTCGGTTGACTTTTGAACGCCGTTTTTCGGCTTCACAGGCCCTAGGTTCAACCCTCACCCGACCGATCCCATCTTTTTTGCTTTTTGTTTCCTTGACCTCCCCCGAGGATGGAACATCAATTTCCGTTGACCGGACCCTCGCTCTTTCACAAAAAAGCCTAAAAACGGCGATGACGGAGTGCCTCGTTTTCTTCACCCCCCTGCTCCCCCGGATGCACACCAGAAATTGATGGGTCCCGGAGAATTTCCTCCGCATCGAGATGCTAGCGAAATGTCTGAATTTTACGGGGAAAGAGAGAGAGAGAGAGAGAGAGAGAGAGAGCGAGAGAGAGAGCGCGCGCGATCGAGAGATAGTTGAAAAAATCGGGGGCTTCATCGGGCGCATCACTTCGAATTCTGTTATTTTGAACGAGCAACATGTGAAAATCAGTTCATTTTTTTTGCTAAAAAATTTAATTTATGATTTTGCATTGTCTGTATCTGTCCTTAACTTCAGTCGTCCTTTAAAATCATCTTTTTCAGCTGCCAACTCCCAGCTGATCAAGCTGCTGCCGCACCCGCCGAAGAGGAGGGTAAAATCGTTGAAAAATCGGCTGAAGCAGGAGCTGCCGAAAATGAGACTGCGGTGGGGAATTTTCGCTTTTTGTATTTTTCAAAATTGCTATCAATTTATTAAGGTTTCCCACCGTGAAGTTTCAGAATGAGAAACGCGATAAACGTGGCATTCTCGACAACATCAAGCGCTTCTTCTCGAGCAACTCGGAGGGCAAGGAGTACGAGGACTACGTCCCGCTTATTCAACATGACAATCGATATTCGGCAAATGTGGGTTTGAGATCTCTCTATCACCCTCTCCTCGCTCTCTCTCTGTCTCTCTGTCTCTCTCTCTCTCTCTCGCTCTTCAAAACTGCTTTCAGATCTCGATCCGATTCACCGACGAGCAGCGCGGCAAGTACCACTTCATCTACCACAATTGCTTCAACTACAGGGAGCAGGGATACAGGTGAGGAGGGACAAAGAGAGAGAGAGAGAGAGAGAGAGAGAGAGAGAGAGAGAGAGAGAGGGAGGAGGGAGAAAGAGAGCCAGAGACAGAGAGCGAGAAAGACAGACAGAGTGAGAGCGAGATAGAGAGAAAGAAAGAATCAAAAAAAGTCTTCTGTTTAGCTCCCGCGTGGCCGTCGACTTCAGCGTGTTTTTCGCCGAGCGCAACCTATTCTCCTACCTATCTGCTGGTGACTTGCCGAAGCCCCATCTCTTCCTCTACATGTCGTTCTGCTTCTTCTTCGCCGGCATTTTGTGGGCGCACAAGTTGTGCACGAGCGAGTGGGTTTCTTTGAGATTTTCCGCTTTTAAATCGATCGTTTTTGTGATTTTTTAAGCGTGATTTGCTTTTTTTGACGGAAGTTTAGTCTCAAATCGTTTGGCTTCGTTTTTCCAGCAGTTCTGACCAATTTGAACCACTTTTTCAGTGCGGGCACGGTTGCGCACATGCAGGGTTCTGTTCTGTAGGGGTTTTCAAGGATTGACAACTTACTTAATCCTCGAAAATGTTTTTGAAACGTTTTTTGGCAACGTTCTGAAGGCCGTCAGAATTTCAATGCATTCTTAGCTTGTTTTTTTTTCTAAATAATAACAGGATGTAAAAAGAACTCCGGATAATTTTATGCAAATCTGTTTTGAAAAATTCGAAAAATAGGTAAATCTTCAAAAGTACCGAGTTTTCAGGCGTTCCAACGTGTTCCGCGTGCACTACTTGATGACGGCGCTCGTGTTTTTGAAGGTAAATTTTCCTCTTTGTTCTATGCCATGTTACGGATTGCTATGGTGAGTAAGAAACTTGTATAAGGTTAATGCTTTAACTTATTTTAGCTATTTTTACCTAGCTACTTTTGAAATTTCCAGGCCCTGTCCCTGTTCTTCCACGGTGTCAACTACTACTTTGTGGCCAAGTACGGGCACCAGCGCGAGATTTGGGCTCTCTTCTTCTACATCACGCACTTGTGGGTTTTGGTAATTCGGGTGAAATTTGGTTTTTTAGGTTAAAAGGAGCGCTTCTTTTCGGAACGATTGTGCTGATCGGGACCGGATACACGTTCTTCAAGAATTTCTTGACCGAGCGGGACCGCAAGGTGTTCATGGTCGTACTGCCGTTGCAGGTGAGGAGGGCAAGCTAGCAGTATTCCTTTGCGGATTTTTTTATCGTTAAAGTTTTGCTTTTTCTAGATCATCGACAACATCGCCCTGATCATCATCGAGGAGAGCGAGTTTGGCGATATGTCGTACCAATTTTGGTACCAAATTTTTGTCTTCCTCGATCTGATCTGTTGCTTCCTCGTGTTCTTCCCGATCATATGGTGGGTTTTAAAGACTTAGGACGGCTAGAAAATACATACCTATCCTTTGATCAATACAATAAATACGAGCTATAGTCAGTATCAATAATCTAAAAAAAATTATTATAACGTTAAAAATATATGAATCTATAGGTCGATGCAACACCTCACTGAAGGCGCACACTCTGACGGCAAGGCCGCGTTCAACCTCGAGAAGCTGCGCATCTTCCGCCAATTCTACCTGATCGTCATCTGCTTCATCTACTCCACCAGGATCATCAAGTTTTTGCTCTTGGTGAGTCTCACTAATTATGGCCTCTCTCACTCTGTCTCTCTCTCCCTCTCTTTCTCTCTTCTCTCGTAGTGGTTTTTATCACTTCAACATCTCTCTGAAGTTCGCTGGATTCGGCACACTAATGAACCCAATTTTTTTGCAGTACGGCATCCCGTTCGACAAGGAGTGGGTGTGCGACGCGGTTGTCGAGATCTCGACGCTGTTCTTCTTCGTCGTCGTCGGCTACAAGTTCCGCCCACTGGCCCGGAATCCGTACTTGAAGCTGAATCAGGAAGATTCGGACGATGGGGACGCGTTTGCGTGAGTTCTCTATCTCGCTCTCTCTTTCTCTCTCTCTCTCTCTCTCTCTCTCTCTCTCTCTCTCCTTTAAACGGATCTCTGACAGTTTCACACCTATTTTCTCCTTCCCAGTTTCCTCGAAACTACCCTCTGTTTACTATCACACCTGCAACAGTGCAAAAATCGCAAGTCTAATCCTATTTTTCCAAACGTTGCTCGGAAAAAAGCCGCATAAGCAGCTTACGGGTTGCTGACGTTTTTCGACTGCCCGTTCCCCCTTTGAACCCTCGCTCTTTTCTTTCCGAAAAAAATTCTATTTAGCGCGCATAATTTTTGGTCAACCCCGCTGTCCTGGCAAAGTTTTTCAAAGCGTTTTCTAGTGTTTTTTTTCCAGGGTTTGGAAGTTTTTTTCTTGGAAATCCCGAAAAGTCCAAATTTTCAGCTTGAAAGTTATTTTATTTTACAAGAAGTTTGGAACTTCTTGTAAAATAAAATATTTTTCAAGCTGAAAATTTGGACTTTTCGGGATTTGAGTAGCAGATTTTTCGGAGTTCGGAGTTCCGAACCTCAAAAAAAATCTAAAAAATTGGATTGAAGTTCGAACCCCTTGTTTTGTTTTTGATTTTTAGAAATTTTTCGGTGTCGATTCAACCTATAAATTGTTGAAATCCGGTTAACTTAGGTATTTTACAAATCCGGAAGCTCCGGAAAGTCCTGGATACCTTTATTCTAACGATAACTCTGCCAAATTTTCAGTTAGGTTCAGGCCCGACCGGAAATGACATATCTAACAGATGAATCAATCTTGTCCAGCTCTATATTTAGCTCTCTCTCTCTCTCTCTCTCTCTCTCTCTCTCTCTCGCTCTCGCTTTCTCTCTCTGTCTCCGATTGTCCAGACAAGATTTATTTACCCTCTTTTGGAAATATCATAACCAGATGACTCAGCGCTAGACCTGAAAAAACAGCTGTCCGGTCTGTTTGCTAATAGAAACTCGGCGCATCAAAATGACTCCACCCCACTACTGTGTGTTGCTCTTTTTTATTCCTTTCCCTCTCTTTGGAAGGCTCTGTCTATAGCGACAGCCCCGCATATATGGGTGTGCACGAGCATTGCGAAATCCGGCGAGCCACCCCGCTTTTCCCAGCCTCGCCGGATTTCCAAACGGCAGTAGTCGTCGAATGAAATTATGGGGAGTGGTAGTAGCGCGTCGGAATATGCCAGCTTCTTATTGGCTTCAAGACTTGTAACTTTTTAAAGCGGGTTGTCAACGAATTTAATTTTTGTACTTTTAACCTTAACTTTTAAAAGTTTGTTAAGTTCAAAGATTAAAAAACTTTTGTTTTGAATTTTGCTAGACTTATACTTTATATTAAATGGTCTTATCTCCAAATTTTGCCTGTTTTAGCCAAAATTTGCTTTCTTTATATAACTAAAACGTTGACGATGTAAGTTTGACCTCTTAAAAACCCGTTCTGTCGATTTCAAAGTTATTTTAGCCAGGACTATTAATCTTTTAAACAACATTTTATTTCCGTAATTTTGATTTGTTTGATCCCGCTTTTTTAAAAATTTATGCTCATTAGAACTTCCTTCATCCTCCTGCCACTGTTTCTCTTTTTCGAATTTCGAACATTCGAGACTGATTTAAAAAATATTTATATTGATGCAAGTCATAGGAATTCATGTTCAGTTTTTGCCTTTTTCTGTTAATGAACGGAATGACAGACGAATGGAAACAGCGGCATTTCAAAATAATAATTTTTAGTGCTTTGGACTTTGCCCCGGTAAATAGATGTTTCTGCTTATCTCTCTCTTTCTCTCTCTCTCACTCTCTGTCTCTCTTTCTCGCTAAAAATCACTACGATTTTCTCAAACATCGTTTTCAGGCTGACCCAGTCCAACCTGCTCGAGAACGTCGTGAACCGGTCACGTTCCAAGGACGACTCGGTGGTGCTGATCGACATCCCGGGTGGCGTCGGCGGCTTCTCCTCATCCGATTCTGACGACGAGCCCACCCGGAAGCTGATCCACCCCGAACGGACGCTCCTCTAGAGACCCTCTAGCTCCCACCAATTCTGGTTCCCCGAGCTCCTCAGCTCTTGAGTCGCACCCCTTCCCCCCTGATTTGCATTCTCCCAGCTATTTGTTGCTTTTCGCCTCGTTTTCGTTGAGTTTTCCGTTCACTTGCTCACCCACCCATATTTCGCTTGTGAATCCGTTTTTTCCATTCCGTAACCGGTTATACAGATCGTGTGTGAAATGGGTGTGTGTTTTTCTCTGGGTACCGGTGGCTTGGGTTTATTTTCAAGGGTCCTTGAACTTGTCTGGGTATGGAAATTGTAGGCTCACAATCGGGTTTTTGGAATTGAATTTTAATGTTTTTTGGCTTTAGAATTCAGGAGTTTCTACTTTTTCTGAAGGGGGACGATTAGTGAAAACTTGGTAATGAAGTTATTCTTCCTGGCACCGCCCCTTTAAGGGACCGTGTAAGGCAGAACTATGGATTTCTGGCTCTAGATTCCCTATGGATTTTGTTCGTAGCTGCGACCCGAGCGCATGCCTTTACATGTCGTGATTGGTTTCCCCATCCTATGCTGATACGACCGTAGCCGAAAAAATCCATCGCGAGGTTTAAACCGAGTCAAAAGGTCAAAATAAAAAGACAAGGATTATCCTGTCGCCAACCCTTTAATTTTGATACCTTGACCAGCTCCTTAAGCTTTGATTCTTGACCCGAGTGGACTTAATTATGCCCTCAGGGCATTTACAACCTTGTTAGCACTAAAAAGCAATATTGACGACCTCCAGACACCCAGAATTTTCCTTCTGACGTCGACAAACTACAAATTTCACCCCCGGGCCCCTACCTCTCCCTTGACCGGAGACCTGTTTTGATTTCAAGGCCCTAAAACCGCGGCGAGACGCCCCAAAAAAAGCCGAGGGAGCGCCGAAATAGTACCCTTATCTAAAGTGGGGGATCTGTGCTGGTGTGCCTTTCAAGGTGAGGGAACTCTGGAGGGCATTTTGGCGATTTCGTTCCTCAAGGACAGTACGTTTTAGGTATCTCTCTATCTCTCTCCCCCCCTCTCCTCTCTCTCTCTCTCTCTCTCTTCGTCTCCAAAGCGCACAAAAATATTTTCAAAACCATCACCCCGCCTCCTTAGCGCTTTGTATATTTCCCTCCGTTAGGCTAGCGGAGCCTCGCGTACTATAAGTCACCAAAAATATTATTTTGAGTGAAGCTTCTGGCGGTTTGGCCTTTAAGGCTCAAATGTCGTCGCTTACCTGGCTTTTTCCTACATTTTTGATTGACAGCTTTTCGGCTGAGTTATCAGTCAGGTAACTGTACTACAAAAAAATGAGACTTACGGAGTTGTATTCTGTAGTTCGCTTCCAAAAAACGTCATCCATTACGCGAGCCACATATACCTTGAAATCCAAAAATTGACTGCACTTTTTGGGACGGGATTTTTTAAGTGTCGGTATCCCGAAAGTGTAGAATTTACAGCAGGTTTCGACGCGAATTTTTTGGGAACTTCTACGTTCTCTAGCTTCCTTTATATCTGTCTCTCTCTCACGCTCTCTCCTTGTCTCTCTTTCGCGCTCTCTCGCTTTCCATTTTTCAGCTTTAGGACGCTTACAAGTTCCTTTAGAATAAAGCTTAAGCTAAAAAAGTTTTCAATACGATAGGCTACAAATGACGTTAGCCTAACGCACTTTGCCCCCGTTTCACACCTATTTTCGATCCGTTCCCATAAATTTATCATATTCTTGACCTTTTCGCCGCGGCCGGAGAATGGATGGCGTCGGTCTGGAAAATGACCAGCCCGGAAAAGTGGACCTTGACCCTCTGCTATGAATTTTCCAGTCTCTCACTTTTTTCTATTCTCTCTCTCGCTCTCTCTCTGTCTCTCTCTCTCTCCCACTCTCCAATGATTTCCACACAATGCCAAAGAACACATCGACGTGTGCGCTCTTTTTTCTCCTCCCTCCCCCCCTCCGGCCTCCGGTAATCGGGGCTTGTTTTCTAAAGGTCGCCCCCGGGAAACAGGATCGATTTTTGGATTTTATTTTTACGCTGATCTTGATGTTAAGTATACCTTTCCTTGAAAATCCAGAGAATTTGCCCTTTGCCCGGAGCCATTTTTTGCGCAAAACCTCGGTATGGTCACACCATCTTATCGGGCTGGGGCAGAGTTGCTGGGTTGGTTTCGGCGAAATTTGGGGGATTTCCCAGGCTGGGAAGCTTCGGGAAACCGTAATTTTGATAAAACTGAAGGTATATTTTCGATGAAGCTGATTTTGGCCAATCCGGAAAAGTTTAGAATTTTCTGATTCGTTTCTTCACCGTTCCGAAAAATTTTTCGAAAATTATAGTTTCAAAAGTTGGTTTATCCTGATTTTGATTTTCTAAATACTCTAAGTTTTTAAAACTCAAAAAAGCACGCAACATTGTTTGTCAATTAAAATTCCGAACATTAGTTTTTACCATTTTTTGAAGCTCGGCATACGCCGTTTGAAAAACCCGTACTTTCCGCTTTTTCGGAAATTCCAAAAATTGCCTAAGCCACTGGTTCTTTTAACCCAATAAAGAATTTTTACCTTAAAGATCTGTAGAACTAGTTCGAAAATCTGTGCTTTACTAATATCTTTGCTTACCCTGATTTTTGCTCCCATTCCCCTTCAAAACCCTGTGATAAACCTCCTGGGTCATGGACTAAATATAACATTTCTATATTTTTAAGTGTATATTTTGTGGTTTTGATTTGTATGTTCGCTTTGCTTTTTAAAGTTCTACTACTAATAATTTTTGAGGTTTTTGATCTTTTTAAGAGCCATTTTTCCACATATTTCTGCTGGTCCTGTGCGTGCTATGCATTGCCTCCTCCCTCTTGGAAAACTTTGGGTAATAGGCTTCGTTACGGGAAACGTCTCTCTTTCTATACGCTCGCTTATTCTTAAGCTGATTTTTCGGATAAATGGTTGGAAATTTATGCCGGTATTTTTCGGATCTTTGATCCCACGGGCTTGCTACCCGAAAATTTTCTATATGTATTTTTTACTGTTTTTTTTTTGCTTTTTTTGTATTTTGTCATCTTATCGTATTTTTAAACGTTTTAGATGGGACATTTAATTTAAAGCGACTTTTTGGCAGTTTTGTACGATTTTTGTAGATCGCTGGCTCAAAAAAATCGTTGTATTATCTACTTCCCTCTTATTTTTTTGCTCTCTCTCTCTCTCTCTCTCTCTCTCTCTCTCTCTCTCTCTTTCTCTCTTTCTCTCTTTATCCATCTCTCCCGCTCCCGCTCTCTCTCACTCTCTCGCTGCCAACCCGTTCCCGCCAATTTTTCATATATCCTCTCGAATGGCTGTGCCGGATTTCAGGTTTCTCAAGTTCTCACAATTCGAATGAAATGGGACGGAGGGAATATCTTATCATTAGCGGGGGTCTGGCCAGCCACCTCGGCGGCCGGATATGACCATCTTTTCTGTCTGTTTTAGCCAGTCTATCTCTCCTCCCCACCCGCCCCCACTCATGTGCATAACATGCCCGGGCGATTTTTAGAATAGGACTCATTTTGCTTCCGAGACATTAAAAACTGTAGGCTAACTGTTTTATAGCTTTGACAGCGTCATTTCCGCTTGGAAATTAGATACCTTAACTCTCAATTTTTTCGAGCTTGCTGATCTTAATTGGAACTGATATTTGTTACCGTTTTTCGCCTTTGCAAATTTTCTGGCATACAGTTGGACAACAACGAAAAAACATCTAGAATCATCCTGCCTAGCCAAAAAAATATTGCTGGCAAATCGCTACCGGAGGGTTAGGCACGAAAATTTGGCCAATCAGGGTTTATTTGGAGACGGGCAAGTCCTGTTTTTGACTGTGAACTTAAAGTGTTGCTCTCTCTCTTTATTTCTAGCTCTCTCTCTAGCGCGCTCTCTCTTTCTCTCTCCCTCTTTTTCTCACTATCGTTCTATCTCCTTGTCTAGCCATTTGATTCTGAACTTCTAAATCCGCTTATCAAGCCTTCACTGTGACGGCCAGACGCTTATCTCGAAATCGGAACCTCACTTTGCTTCAAAAACACCCCTGGAATTGATTATGCAATCGCTGTCCTAGACTTTCATTAGTGAGTCGCCCTGCGGCGTCCCAGGACCGAGAGGTCACCTGTTACCCCGGGGTTTTTTATCAAGATCTGTGTCAGACCCCAGATACATAGCGCTTACTATTGGTGTTTGACTCATGAAACGGCAAATAAGAAAGGATTTGGTTTTTGGACCCAAAACTAGATAGAGATTGGTATTTAGTACAAGTCTCACCATTACATTGATTTGTAGCTAAGGTTACGATATTCTTGTTTCTTTTAAGACCATGTATTACTATTACAATTTTTTTTTGAATTGTAGAAATTTAGAAATTTTGGTGACTTCGAGCCCTTTCTTATTAAAATACGTTTTTCATCAAAAAACTGGTCCATCGTTTTTTGAAAATGTTAAAATTTTCAAATTGTGTAATTGAAATTAAAAATTATTTGCTATTGGCGTTTTTTACGGTACCTTGTCTGTAAATTTTAGGAATTTAGAATTTGCTAGCGATTTTGAACCCTAAAAACATCATATTCGCTAAAGGGGTGTTTCAAAAGCTTAGAAACGTTTGGAACTTGCAAAATTTCATTTGTACGTTTTTCAGATTTTTCGAATAAAAATTCATGCTGAAAAATTGATGTAAAATTGTGTGATTTACGCAATCGCCTCCAAAGCAATTTTCTGGAACCTCAGGATTAATTAGGCTGTTATTATTCGTTTGGTCTTTTCGTTAAGCCGTTCATTCATCGCTTCCATTCATGGTTTATTATTTTTCTAATTTTTTTAATTTCCGTTATTGTCCTCATTACGCTTTACCTATCCTTCCTCTTATTTGTCTATTTTCTCATTTTCCAGGCCCACCGACGGCACGGCGAATGGTCCATAAATGACGTTCCGCACCGAGATGGACAACAGCTTTCTGCACAATGAGGTATTAGTTATAGCTTTTTAGTGATGCT